GCTAGCTCGGGACAGTCATATTCAGTCGAAGCCCGAAGCGCATTGCTCTAAAGGTGCAGACAGCCAAATCAATCCGTTGCCGAGGCCGGGACCAACTCTCGGCACGTCCGACCCACTTGATCAAGGATACTGAAGTCATCACCAACTCTCAGCACTCTCACGCTATGAAGTGGGAAACAGGACCACCCTCGGCAAACCTGACTCTTTGAATCAGAAACACAAATCAACACAAGCTCCAAATGCAAAGCCAACGGTGCACACGACTTTTCCTGCATCAGCGCGGGAAGTGGTCACGACTGAGGCACCGGCAGGCATTGTTTGCAAACGGGGCGCAGCATCCGAGGGAGTACGTCCAATTTAAAGAAGCTAGTAGTCACTGCCCTGCCGCACTTGAGATGGCTTCCCTCCTCAAGAGAGTCACAGAAATGAATGATGCGCGAGTTGTGATGCCTAAAAGCAAGCATGCCGCTAACCAACTCACGAGCACCCTCAAAAGGCTCCCACGGATCCAACAGCTGCATAGCCTCCTCCTCGTCACGATGGTCAGGATGCTCCTCGTCCTGAGAGTCTTCTGAAGAAGAATCAGAAAGAAGCTCGGCAGGCTGCTCCGCCTCATCCTTTGGCCGCTTGAAATAACCTGAACGAAGTGAATCCGGAAAGAATCTCTTAAAGGCCACCGCGCGAATCACCTCATCGAGTTCACGCAATGGCTGCGAAATGTTATCGCGGCCACACACCAAGACACTTCCTTTGCTCTTGCTGTGATATCCGAGTATTGCACGGGTCTGAAGCGAAAGTCCGTACTTACTTGACCAGCTCAACAGGGTAGCCTTCAGGCTATGCGTCCCGAGCTCATGAATCTCATTCTTTGGAAAGTCGGCCGGATGCCTGTACAACAGACCTCGCAACCAACGAGCCGACGCCTCGGGGGACAGCGGCACGTTCTGCCACTGACCATTATCCATGGGCCCGGGCAGCAAAGGGCGCCCTGGGCCTAAAGGGGGCCGTTCTCCGCGAGCACCTTCATCCACTCCAGACCCCAGCACTGATCTGAAATACCATGGATTGTAGCAACCATCGGCAACCAACGAGTTTTACGCTCTAGAGTAGTCGAGGTTTTGGAACGCTCAATCCTTGCTTCAAGAAAACCAGTCACATCGCCATCCTCATCCTCGCAAAGGTCCTCTTCAAGAGCAGAAGAATTCTGTGCATCCGAGTGCCTCGCCCGAGCGTAGATGGCGAATAAGAAAAATCCTGCCGCCACCTTGTCAGCAGCGCTATAGTTGGCAACCTTGCCACACACAATCTCCTCCAGAGCAAAAACATGTTTGGCATGAAGCGGCGGCTTCTGCTGCAGCTTCCTCTTGGTCATATAATGCTTTGCAGCCAAACCTGTCATCCTAGGACTGAAGACATCATCATCCAAGAAAGCACCCATGACATGTTTCAAGAAAGCCAGGGTCCCCACGAAGCTGCGAAGGTGAGTCGCAGCACAATTCTCACCAGTCACTTGCATGTAATGATACGCAGAGCTCTCAGTAATAGGAAAAGGGGAAACAGCTTGCGACTTGCAAAAACTCATGTAGCACGCAACAGGTCCCGCGCGTGTATGCAGCGTCGAAGTAGATTTGCCCGCAAATATATCCTCCAGGACAGATGCCAAACTGTTCTGTCGTCCTGCAGCAGCATCTGCCTGCATCTGCCTTCCAAAATGCATTGCATATGGTCCAACCATACTGGACCACTTAGCCAGGGCAGCAGACCTGTGAGCAGAAGACTTCGCATCCCAAGAAGAGCCCGCCTTCTTAGCCAGCTTAAAAGCAGTGCCCAGAAAAGCCGTAGGGTCTCCCTCCTCAGGCTTGCTCCCTGCCGCATCAGGTCGTGAAAGCCCCGCCGTGCCGGGCCTCCCCTTAATGACAGGAAAGGAAGGCAATCTAGGACCCTTTCCCATCACGGGTCCTCGTTCCCAAGGCTGAGTAAACGAGGTCACTGAATGTTGAAAAACAGCATGCTGCACATGCTGCTCAAAAGCGTCACTAGCATCACGCTTCATTCTCAGCCTAAAAGAGCAGGAACCAACGAGATCTGCCTGCCATGGCTGGGCCCACCCAGTCTAGTTAACGAACCCCCGTTACAAACTTTGTTGCAAGAGGGGCTC